GGCCTGCGCCGGAGTTAGCCAGCGCGGTGGCGGCCGAGGCTGGCAGGGGTGGACTCCAGGGCCGGGCTGCGCCCACTTCCCACAGGTAGAACGAGGGCAAGTTGGGGCAGTTGGGAGGGCTCCCCTGAGGGGAGGTGCGCTGAGCTTTTCTCCCTCGCCTGCTTCTCCCCGTGCTCCGGCCGCACGCCGAGTGGCCTAAGAGCTCTGCCCGGGTGGCTAGTCCGACCCGGCTGTGGTGCGCGCTGACCTAGTCTCTCCTTCTCGTCCGCTTGATGTCCCTGCACAGTGGTAGGGTTGGTTCTGGGGTTCTGGAGGCCCCTTTCTGGCCCCCCTCCCCCGCCCCACAAGGGCTGATGGATTTCCCAGTTCTGTTCTCGGAGGTTCCAGCCTCAGCTCTTTGGTCCACCTGTGAAAGGGGAAGGGTCAGAGAGTCCCACATTACTTGATCTTAGGTTGAACCTATCTGCTTTGCCTTTTCGACTCACCTCCTTCTCTGAGTTGTGTGGAGGCGCCACGACTTGGAAAGATCCGTAGGGTCTGAAAACTGTCAGTGTCATGCTTCTCCGCTCTGGCGTGTGGGCGTGGATTATGTGCTACTTAGAGAAGCAGCTCTACAACCATTGTCCTTATTTGAGCGATGGTGGGCGGTGTGAAGGGGTGGAGGGAAAAAGAGAAGATGCGTGGGTGTCATAGGCGTGGCAGAAGGAGAGCAAAACTAAAACTATATCAATAGGCCTAATTAATGTTGTGTTTGCGGACTGAGAGAAAGCTGAGATTGGTGAGGTCAGTTTTGTTATGTTCCCATAGTACTAAGCAAGACTTGTGACTCACTGAATTTTCCATATTCTGCTTTTCCCACTTGGTTTGTGGTGCTTAGTGTCTCCTTGTTTTCCTCTTTTCTATGTGGCCTGAGCGTCACTATTGACAATACTGACCCTATTCAACAGCAGCTTGGTGGTTTCAGGCATATGCTCAAACTGGCAGGGAATGCTAACCTCTTGATGTTAGCAGCCTACCCTGGCCAGTTCTTCTTAGGAACACCCAGCTGATTTTGAACACATTTTCTAAAAGAAGAGTGATGTATTTAAAATTAGAATGTTAAGATTTTCTGTCATCTATGGAGATCAGCTTAGTAATGCTTTCAGTAAGTTTATAGTGCTTATAAATATTATTAACCTGAAAGAGGATTTAAGAGGAAGAAGTTATGTCGTTATCAAAAAGGTATATATAGAGATCTTTCTAATCAAATAGTAATTTTTTGGGTAGAATTTAATTTAGAATGAAAATTGATTTAACAGACTTGCAAGCATTAAATGATCATATATTGAAAGCATTTGTAGTGTACTTGTCATTATTTTTGGGCAATAAATGTGGTAGTTTGGTTATCTCTGAGTTGCCCTTCCAATTTGGACATTTTTGAAAGTTAGAATTCTAGAACAAATCACTTTTAACCTTGCATTGTTTGGTACAATATGTTTGGAGGTACTGTTGTGATTAAATAGTATATAGTTAAATTTAGATCTTGATAAACCCTTTGATGTTTTCTCTAAAGGCTTACAAGGTTATTTTAATGGAAAAGTCTGCAGAATATTTTGCCCTATTTTTCATACTGGAGAAAATGAGAGCAGTATGATTTCAGTAAAAATTCATTTATTTTCTCATTTTAAAATTATGAAAACATGCTTTGTCTATAAGAAGTTAGAAAGAAATGTGTTCTATAGAAATACTATATGTGTTTCCTGGTATTAGTAATAATAATAGTTACCATTTTTAAACACTATTTGTTGGACACTGTACCAAGTGATATATAATTTCGTTTGATGCATACAGTAGTTCTAAGAAATGTAAATGTTTTCATCATTTTACACATGTAGTAATTGAGGTTTTGAGAGTTTAAGTAATTGCTAAAGTTGAGCCATATTTTAAATTCGTATCTGTTGTACTCCATCATTTGAATATGACTTGAAATGAGCTGAAAATTTAAGAAAAATATCTTCCAAGATTTTTAAATTCACTCTCAAACCTAAGTCCAAATAGCAATTAGTAGAAAATATTAAATAATATGGTAGACTTTATTCACTGGAAAACATTTAGATGCACTCAGCTCTTAAGCTCATGTTGGGTCCCAGCATGATAGCAAACTGGAAAGTGACTATACATGTCCTGGAAAAGTTCTTGGTAACAAGCCACTTAAGGTTGAGCCATCTGTCTACTCAAGGGCAAACTAACTGATTTATGCTTCAGAAGGAAATGCTGAGGTTATTTGGTTCCTATGTATTTTCCATGTATTTGAAAGAAAGCAGAGGTAGATTAGAAAGCAGCAAGGACCATGGCAGTAAAAACAGTTTGTATTGAGAAAATACTATGTATTAGGCACTGTTGCAAATAGTTTAGAATACATCAAGTCGTTTAGCCTTTGAGCATTTAAGAAGGTACTTCACTGTCTATTACAGATGACAACATTGAGAGAGATTAAGTAATTTATTTGCCCTATGTTTTATGTTAGGTTGTGGGCCATAGGACTTGGAGTTAAGGAGTTGGGGTGGAAAGGGGAGAACCAGTGGTTGAAAAGTAGAAGAGACATGAAATTAAAGCTATTGAAAAATATTCTATTTAATTATTTAATTTTGTTATATGTTCTTGTCTGTTGGAAAGTACCATCCATTACATGTGGATTATAGTAAGTTGGCTTCTTTCCCAAATACTAGAATTTGTTAGAAAAACTGCTAAAACAATGAAGTAACTGTTTCTTTATGAGCCTGAAAGCATGGACATGGCATTCGATGACTATCACCCTAATATCCTTTTGTAGGACAAATTTAGGAGTACAGTTCCCTGCTTCAGGATATTAGAGGCTAAGTTGTAGTTTGTTTCCTTAACACCAAAACTGTTTTCTATGCAAATAATGAATGTCTAAATTGGTATTAATTGCAATATTATGTGCATATTTCATATTATACTTATATAAAAAGTGCTATCTAGTAAACAAGGTAAAGGCTATACTTGCAGATTTTTAGCACCAATTTTGCCCCAAGCTGGAGCTACGTGATTTTGGGCAAATAATTCAAATTTAATCAAATGAAGGAATTGGGCTACTTGGTATATCATACATAATGACTTATGATTGTAATTCAATTTCTACTTAAGTGGTTCTGTTTACCAACTATTTGAAAGTACTAGAGGTGCTTTCATATACTTTATATGTAAATATTCCAATATAATCTATATAAAGCAGACTTTGTTCCTAATTTTGTGTTATTATTGTGGGAATTAACCAGGTGCTTTTTATTTTATTTTTTTTAAATAGCTATTTATTTTATTTTTTATTTATTCATTTATTGATTTTTAATTTGACCAGAGAGAGACAGAGCGTGAGAGTGAGAGAGAGAGGAAGTGAGAAAGCAAGCCACCAGGTCCAGGACTCGAACCCCGGTTGGCCATGTGGGAATGCCCAGTGCCTTAACCACCACACCACCCGCTAGTCCCAACCGGGTACTTTGTAAAAAGATTAAAACTAAAATACTATGTCTGTCTCTGCTACATGTTAGGAATGTTAGCAGATCACTTTTTTAGCCTCAGGTTCTGTGTTTGTAAAATGAATGGATAGTAGTATCTAAATGCTAAAATTTATGTATTTTGTTTTAGAGCCTGCTAGAAAGCAAGTGCTTATCAAGCATTTAGCTGATAATTGTTGTCATTAATTTCACATATTAAAAATTCTGATCACAGTCTTAGGGTGTGATGCCTACAAACTTGACTTGGCATCTAAACTGTTTGATTTATATTTGGTTTGATATAAACCCAAATATATGTCAGTTGTGTATAAAACATGCTTAGATACCTTAGTTCAAAAACAGTGGAATGATGTATGCTTTGAGAATACCAAATTAAATGGTTTATCTGAGTCTCCTACTCTTCATTTATTGATTTTTAATTTGACCAGAGAGAGACAGAGCGTGAGAGTGAGAGAGAGAGGAAGTGAGAAAGCAAGCCACCAGGTCCAGGACTCGAACCCCGGTTGGCCATGTGGGAATGCCCAGTGCCTTAACCACCACACCACCCGCTAGTCCCAACCGGGTACTTTGTAAAAAGATTAAAACTAAAATACTATGTCTGTCTCTGCTACATGTTAGGAATGTTAGCAGATCACTTTTTTAGCCTCAGGTTCTGTGTTTGTAAAATGAATGGATAGTAGTATCTAAATGCTAAAATTTATGTATTTTGTTTTAGAGCCTGCTAGAAAGCAAGTGCTTATCAAGCATTTAGCTGATAATTGTTGTCATTAATTTCACATATTAAAAATTCTGATCACAGTCTTAGGGTGTGATGCCTACAAACTTGACTTGGCATCTAAACTGTTTGATTTATATTTGGTTTGATATAAACCCAAATATATGTCAGTTGTGTATAAAACATGCTTAGATACCTTAGTTCAAAAACAGTGGAATGATGTATGCTTTGAGAATACCAAATTAAATGGTTTATCTGAGTCTCCTACTCACTCTTGACCTTTCTTGGTGATTATTTTTAGCACCATAAAGTTTTAAGATTTATTTAATGTCTTAACACAGATAGAAATTTATACTTTTATTCATTTCTTACAACTGTATTTTAGGAACTTGAGTGTTGAGCTAATAGTGAATAATGAACACTATTTAGATCATGACTTAAACATTGCTTATGACATTAATTATATTTATAAACTTAAGAATTTTTCAAGACAGATTATAGGTGTTCCTATCCTTAAAAAATAACTTCAAGTGAAAATATATAATTAGATTTTTCTAACAAATTGCTTCCACGGTAGGAATCCTTATGCTAATTCCAATATATACTATTATTTTGGTATTACATGTATGAAAAAAGTGTGAGCAGTAGGGCCTAGATAACTTTTTTTTTTTTGGTAAAAATGTTTCATACATTGACAAGTATATAATCATGTTTGGTGAAAATATGTCAAATATGTTAGTTTGAAAGTATACTTTTACCATTTCAACCTGAAAGAATGCAAATTTATGTAATTATTATTAACCAATTAACTGATTTAGAACATATTATTAGTGAGTCTATTATAAAACATTTGACTCTTTGGTGAGTATTCACACCCCATGACAAAACCCCAAAAAACAAATAAAACATTTGAGTCATAGAGAAACTATTAAAAGAAGGGGCTATATAGTTAGCTAGGATTAAAGTCAGCCAGCTTGAAGGATTTAGATAACATTTTAGAGAGAAATGTTTATTTAGGTGTTGAACGATAGTGTTTAGTAATGGAGACCAGAAGTCTAAAGTTAGAGGGGCTTTAGGCTCTATTTCTTCCCAGCTATTGGGCAAATAACTAAACTTTGCATTTAGTTTTCTTATCTGGTACTATTCTATAAGAAAGTGGTGATATTATTAACTCTAATCACAGAAAATAAATGAAAGCTGAAAAATTATTAAATGATTTGGTCAAGGTCACAGGTAAACTTGCATAACCTGCATTTTCTTATTAAAAATCTAGATGACTGGGGCCAGCAGGTAGTGTGGTGGTTTGGGGTGCTAGACTCCCACATGGCTGACCCATATGGGCAACTGTGGTTTCAGTACTGGACCTGGCAGCTTGCTTTCTAACTTTCTCCTTCTTTCTCTCTGGTAAGCATGCGTGCTTTATAGCAAATTAAAATTATAATAATAAATAAATTAAATTAAATAGAAATAATTCTTTTAAAAAATGCAGGCGACTTTCTGCTATTACCTGTAAGAAATATTCTTTTGAGCAACATGAAACATCCCTAATTCCATATAACTAGCTTGGTTGGGAGACAGTTCAGTGAAAGTAATGATTTCATTTAATTATGTAGAATGAGAGTGGTAAAGTAAAACTTTTGTTCCCAGAGCAGCATAGGGAATCTACTTTAAAGAAAATCACAAAGTAGTATGAATATATACTTCTAAAACACTTTGTCATTAAAAAAAAGTCTTTTCTGGTTTATATCTACTTTTAAATATGTCCTGATTTTGAAAAAAATTTTAAAAAGCGGACTCTGTTCCAGTGACTGAATTCAATCATATGGGTGGGGTACAAAGAAATTAATATTTTATAGTATTTTTGACAGTATTGCAATCTAAATTTTATAGTGGGTATGCTGTAACTTAAAATTTTAAAATGCTTCTTTTATTTCTAGCTGTGAATTTCTTTGGATAATTGATGATATTTATCATTGTACCTGGCTTTTACAAATAAAAGATGGGTGGATTATTTTCTCGATGGAGGGTAAGTTACTTTTCTTTATAGCTAGTTCTTAAGTCTAACATAAAAGTGTCACATAAAGCTGTTTGTAAAAAAATCTCCTTTGTAGAATAGCCATGAGTAGTAGTTTGATTTTATCTTTACTTCTATTTAATTTTTTTCTTGTCTTTGGAATTTTTTTTTTTTTTTTGAGAGGCTTTCACTACAGGGTGCGTGCGCTTGCCAGACAGAGAGAGAGAGACATAGAGACAGAAAGCGAGAAATCATCCCCCAGGGGGGGATGATCACGCCGCAATCCCTTTTCCTCCATTCTCCTCTCGGGATCTTGGGCATGCACGCACACGCGCCCGGTGTGAGTTTTAAGCCACCGGGTCCGGGACGCGAACCGTGGTCGGCTATGTGGGAGTCCAGCGACATAGCCATTACACTAACTGCTGGTTCCCGTCTTTGGAATGTTTTATGTGAACTTGGTTTTAATAATTCTACTTGTTCTCTGGGTGTCTAATGTTGCTGTTTAATCAAATTATTTCCCCTTAACATAATAGTTATTCTTATATCTGTATTGATGTACAAATATTTATCTTTTGTTGTTTCCTTCTTATACTGCTTAAATTTCAGACTTATTTGAAAGATAGTTGAAATTAAGTATTCTATACCACACTTATGCTTTTTACAGACTCTATCTTTTTAGTTAAAACTTGTCACAAGTATTTATTGAAGTCATAATAAATATGCTTTTAGGAATTATAAGTTTAATATAGTTAAAAGTGTAGCTAGATTGATTGGATAAGCCTTTAAAGGAAAAAGGTCAAATTTAGAAGTCGAAGATATGAATTATATTGAAAAATGACCTCTTGACTGTAAGAGGAGATAATATAGTTTAAGGCAAACTGCTTAATTTTTGACTCCTTATGACCTTATGATCATAGTCATGGAATATAGCAATACTTGGCACATAATTTAGTTTTTGGACTGTTGCTAGAACAACTTGTTTTAGATTGACATTGTATTGACCCCTCTCTCTTTAAAACCTTATGGCAGTTCTGCTTGAGTATCAAATTTATCTATATTCCTCTTTTGTCTTATTAGATTGAGCCATATGAAATTGCCAATATTCAATTGCTTTGCTTCACAAAAATGCCAATTTCATATGGTTCAACCTAATGTTAACAACTCTTAGGGGAACTACAATGAACTGATATTCATTACTCTCTTGGATTGTTGAGTATGTAATTGGTAAATATTTTCTCAAGTGTTATATGAGCCATTTTGGGTGTTCTCCCCTCCCCTTACATGGTATAAAAAATATCTTTGGCAGACAAGCTCTGCTGTAATGAAGTGTTTTTCTTAGTTGCCCCTTTAAAATTTGATCTTCAAAAAAGTACTTTGGAAATTAAGAATGAAGGTAACTTATTGATTTTGACCTCCAGAATCCTAAGTGAACTTTCAGCAATAACAAATCAAACCATCTTTAGTCTGATTTTTTTTTTTTTAATTAGAGCATGTGGGAGACACACAGAGAGAGGTTTTCTGATAATATCTTCCTGTATCACTATCCTTCTGCTCCAGCCTCCTAATTACCTGGGACTGGCGGTGCATGCCACTGGGTATGGACTATCTAAGTTGAGTGAGGAATCAAACTCTGGCTTTCCACATGGCCCTAGCCATCACAAGACAGTGCCATTCTGCTTGCATCACCTTGGCTTGGCCATGTGAATTCTTTACAATATCAATTCTTTTAAATAATCACATCTATGAAACTTTTTCTTGGGGGAAAATTGTTTTTCTTTATAGAAGTATGCTATAGTGAGGTTAGGAATGATTGAAGTTGAGCTATCAGAGTTGAAAGTCCTAATAGAACTAAGAAGACATTAAGTAGGGAAATGCTTAATTTTTAATCTTATAGGGGATAGCTCTGTTTATAACTTTCACTTAAATAAATCTTAGAAATCAATAAGAAAGCATATTGATTGACAACATTTGAAAAAACTTGATTTTGGATTAAAATATTCTTTTATGATTAGATAAATAAAAATATTTCTAAGTTTGCAGTAAAACAAATTTTGATGTTGCCTCTTAATTTCTACTTCTTTAACAGACGAAACCTTCAACTGTTGAAGTTCTAGAAAGTATTGATAAGGTATGTTCTTTATGAAGTATTTTAATTTATTTTAGGTGTTAAATATTATTTTAGTATATATTATTTGGGAGATTAAATTAAGTATGATAAAAGTAATTCCATTTACCATTACCACAAAAAGTATAAGCTATTTAGGATTAAATCTAACTAAAGAAGTTAAAGATCTCCACAAAGAAAACTATGAGAAGCTAAAAAAAGAAATTGAGAATGACACAAAAAAGTCAAAGGACATCCCATGTTCCTGGAATAAAAAACTAATATAATCAAAATGACAATTCTACCCAAATTAATCTACATATTTAATGCAATCCCAATCAAAGTGCCAGAGACATTCTTCACAGATCTAGAAAAGACAATCATATAATTTGTCTGGAATCATAAAAGACCTAGTATTGCCAAAGCAATCTTGCACAAGAAGAGTGGAGTGGGTGGCATCTCATTCCCTAACCCAAAAATATTCTACAAATCTGTGGTAATCAAAACAGTATGATATTGGCACAGAAACAGACAGGTGGACCAATGGAACAGAATATAGTCCCAGAAATAAATTCCCAAACATACAGCCAACGGATTTTTTTTTTTTTGGAGAGGTTTTTTTTGTGTGCGCTCGCCAGGCAGACAGAGAGAGACATAGAGACAGAAAGAGAGAAATCAGCCCCCAGGGGGGATGGTCACGCCGCAATCCCTTCTCCTCCATTCTCCTCTCAGGATCTTGGGCATGCACGCACACGCCCCTGGTGTGTTTTAAGCCATCGGGTCCAGGACGTGAACCGCGGTCGACTACGTGGGAGTCCAGTGACATAGCCATTACGCTAACTGCTGGTTCTCCAGCCAACGGATTTTTGACAAAGGATACCTGTCAATCCATTGGGAAAAGGAAAACCTCTTTAGCAAATGGTGCTGGAAAAACTGTATCTCCACTTGCAGAAAGATGAATCTTAACTCCTATTTCTCACCACTGACAAAAATCAACTCAAAGTGGATCAAAGATCTAAACCTAAGACCTCAAATATAAAACTGTTGCTGGAAAACACTGGGGAAGCTCTGGGAGACATTGGGGTAGGCAAAGACTTCTTAAATAAGATCCCCAAAGCACAGTCAATAATCCCAAATATAGACAAGTGGGATTATATCAGATTAAGAAGTTTCTGCATGGCAAAAGACACAGTAATTAGTGTGACTCGACAGCCCTCAGAATGGGAAAATATTTTTTTGTAAACTATGCGTCAGATAAGGGACTGATAACCAGAATACACAAGGAACTCAAGCAGCTGTCCTGAAGAAAAGATGATCAACCCTATTAAAACATGGGAGAATGAGTTGGAAAAAACCACTCTCTAAGGAAGACATACAATAACTAAAAGACATATGAAAAAAATGCTCAACATCCCTCATTGTAAGGGAAACCCAAATCAAAACCACAATTCTATACCACCTAACCCCAGTCAGAATGACTAAGATAAAAAAAAAAAGAAAGTGATAAGTATTGGCAGGGATGTGGTGAAAGGGGAACTTTCCTACACTGCTGGTGGGAATGTAAATTGCTCCAGCCACTATGGAGAACAACTTGGAGACTCCTCAAAGATCTACAAATAGAACTACCATATGATCCAGCAATCCCACTCCTTGGTATCTGCCCAAAGGACAGAAGAATTCCCTTCCTTCCTTCCTTCCTTCCTTCCTTCCTTCCTTCCTTCCTTCCTTCCTTCCTTTCTTTCTTTCTTTCTTTCTTTCTTTCTTTCTTTCTTTCTTTCTTTCTTTCTTTCTTTCTTTCTTATGTTTTTGCTATAGGGTGGGTGCACTCACCAGGAAGACAGAGAGAGACAGAGAGACAGAAAGTGAGAAATCACCCCCTAGCGGGGATGGCCACACC